TAATAAAATTAATAGCTATTTTTAAATATTCTATTGTTTATATTAAATACACATCTCGACGGAATATAGATGTCGTTGATCGAAATTCTTCGAAGTAGAGGTCGCTACAAGAACAAGTGGCGTTCTGTCATCTATCGGGGGCTCTTGGAACGAAAGTCTATTACCGACTTCGATAGATGCTGCCATCTATCGCAATTTTCCTATTTTTCCTTTTAGTTCTAGTTAAATTCGCGAGGTGCATAGATGGCAGCATCATCGTAGACGAGAATGGCACTAGTGTGCAACGAGGATAAACTTATGCAACGTGAAACACAAGGACAGCGCTCGAGTACAAATAAAGGACAGCGATAGATTTTAGTTCTGTTGTTTCACCGCTACGCGACGCTAGCATTTCAGTGTCCATGAATCGAGCAGTCATTTGCAAAAAAAAAAAAAAAAAATTAATTAAGTGAATCAATTTGTAAACTTTTGTAATTCCGTCTTCCAAATGAGAGTGCCAGCTTTTCTTCTATATGGCATTTGACTTATAAAATGCATGTATAAAGATTTATCAATGTTTTCTCAATAGATCGAAACCTTCGTTTAATTAATATTTAATTTCTCGCAAACCATGTTCGAAATTTGCTTTAAAATTACTTCTAAAGTTTAATTAGACGTATTATATGAGGTTTTGAGCACAGTTTTGAGCATGAATTTTTATTTATTCGATTAGTTACTGACAATTATCAGACGTGACGTTTTTATACAGGATCAGGTGTATGAATTTACATAAAATTGGCGTTCTGTCGAATTAATTTTCAATTTGTAATGTAAAGGATGAAATCTAAGATGGATTTCACATGATATAATTGTTTTTCATTGCAGAATTTTTTTTCTTATTAGAGTCATTAAAAAGATCATTAAACCGTAAATCAAACGACGAATCGATTCGATATTTTGTCCAGCAGTATCCTCTTCTCGAGCCACAAGTATTCTTCTGAAAATTACAACACGTACTCGTCAATAAACTCGGACTTTTATCGCGGCTTGAGCAACCAAGGAATAATCAAGATAGCCTACTGAAAAAGTTTTGCATCTTCCAATTTGAAAGAGTGGCTCGTCACTCTTCTTTCTTTCTTTTGTCTTCTTGGAAAAGCCTTGAATATCAAAGGTGAGACGGTTTCACGGCATGGCGATTTCGCGCCATTTATCATACTATCCGCTGCAGATCCGTTCTTTTTCAGAGGCGGGAAAAAAAAGGTCGTTTTTGTTTCCTCCGTTGTCACCGTGTCGGCGCAGTCGGCCAGAAAATCAAGTTCACACGAACGCGCCGAGGACAATCGACCTTTGCCACGCGAGGAACATTTTCTCATCAATTCAAATCGTCCCTCCCTCGCGGAGAGGATTTCTCATCTTCCGGCGAATTCTGCCCGTTCAACGGATTTCCCGTGAACTTGCCTCTCCGACTCGATTCTCTCTCTCTCTCGAGGCCAAAGGGAAAACAAAAGTCGAAATCCGTCGATCTCGCGACGCGATATACCTGGAAACGGTTGATTCTCTCCAAGTTCTCCTTCTCTTTGGAGAAAGGCAAAGGTGAATCGGATGGAACAAAGTTTTCACTCTTGTGAAAAATCAACGACACGAACAATTGGATAAATATTGAAAAGAGGCACGGGAATAGAATATATTTGAAAAATTTGATACAATCTTTTAAATGTAAAATATATTCAAAAGATTTAATAGAGATATTAAACCTAGAATTGCTCCTACGTAAATTTCAAAATATATTATTTTCGAAATTTTAACCTTCTATGATACTTTAAACTTCCTATAAATGCACCATAGCTTAGATCGTCTTTTTAGCTTGAAACACGGTGCAAAGAATCCTTCAAGTATATTTTATGTTTGAAAGATTTAATAGGTTTAATAGAAATATTAAATGATTGGGAAAATAGCGTGTTATCTTTGAAATATATATCGTCTTCAAAATTTTAGTGACTACAGAGTTCCTGTAACATGCACGAACCGGTGA